CGGTGTTTCAAAAATATTTTGCGGCCCCCCCCCCCCCCCAGCTGGCTATGACTAAGGAGGTGAGAGCATTCATCAGACGGGGATGGCGTAGTAGTATTGGAGTCTAGGAGTCACTTGGCTTCCTGGACTGGCTGAGCTACCTCTCAGTACAGGGGAGGTGGAAGTAAATGCAGCTGCCCTAATAACTCTGGGAGTTCCTGTTTTCCAGGTTCTGTGGTTTGACACCTAGGAGCACAGCCAGTGTTCTCGGGAAGGACGGAAGCTAGGCGCAATGGTTTCTGTGCCTTTTAAAGAGTTGTGTAGAAGAGAGAATATTGGCAGGTTCTCCTGATCCCTGCAGCAGGACTGAAGAAAGCTTCACCCGCTGAAAAATTCCCTTCCTGCAGACCTTCCAAAGCTCTGTGTACACCCCACCTACACACACACACACACACACACACCAAGGGAGGGGCAAGTACCTCCACTACAGAACATTCTTGTGCAAAGTACAGAAAACAAGCTTTCAGTTCAAAGCCTACAGCAGTTGCCAGATCAGTTCCCTTTAGCCACATTTCAAATCTGGGCTGTGGGGAGTACTGTGTTGAAATGCTTTCCCAAAGACAGAGGGCTAACAGAACTATTCAAGAGTTATGTCATGTTCAACTATTCAAAGGATGTCTGAGATTATGGACCCATAAATAAATTCTGGTCAGGATATGGGCTTTGGTCTTGTCGGACTCTGACCCAGTTCAAGGCTGGTCCTGTCAAGCGAGGGCTGCCAGATTTGTGTTTTGGCAGGGCTCCTGTGTTTTTAACCACTGTGTGATGGGTAGAAAGTAGGGTTGCCAACTTCCAGGTGGTGGCTGGAGGTCTCCTGGGATTACAGTGGGTCTCCAGGCAACAGAGATCGCCTCACCTGGAGGGAAATGGCTACTTTGGAAGGTGGGCCCTCTGGCATTATGCCCCACTGAAGTCCCCCCCTCCCCAAACCCCGCCCTCCTCAGGCTCCACCCCCAAAATCTCCAGGTATTTCCCAATCCAGAGCTGGCAACCCTAGCAAAAAGTCAAGAGGCGCAATAATGAGAAAAGTTTTACCAATTGACTTTGACTTCATGCCAGTCACAGCCACTAAAAAATGTGCAGGTACACACACACACACACACACACACACACACACAAAAACCCCTACTGGGAATAAATAGGAGCATTTTCTGGCGGAAGCTGCACTGCAGGAGAAAGATCCTACTCTGATCTCTCAAGCCCCAGCCAAAAAACAGGCGCTCGTTCCTTTCAACTTGCTCTTCCGTGCCTGGGAGGGCATTACAAATAAATGACAAAGCATTTGGGGAGGGAAGTCTCCTCCGCGCACACCCCGAGCATGTCAGTCAGCCAGTTTGTACTTGCTGCTGGAGCACAATAAAGCGAGCTCGCTTGAATACACACAACAAGCCAGTCCAGGGATGACCAAAGTGCAGGAAAGGGGGAGGAGGCGGTTCTAAAATGAAAGCTGCAAAGTACGTCGAACTCAGAGACGAAGGATGGTAAACGGAAAAGGAGAGCAACCCCGTATTGTGGCAGGCAAAACCACTTGCAGCGAGGAGTGACCCCGGGGGGGTAAGCAGCATTCCTTTAAACTTGGATTGGGGGGGGGTTTCCTTTGGAAGGAAGGACTGAAGACAGCATAGAGACACATTTATCTAAGTTCTTAAGCGGAATGCAGGCATCTTTTCCCTCTCCTGTTTACATGAGAACGACAGTTTAGCTTTTCTACCCTTTGCCTTCAGCAATGCTTTTCCTTTTCCTTTGTTATTAGATTGGAATAATCATCATATCGTACCTTTAGAGGGGAACATCTACCCTATGCTCCGGAGTGCTTAGACAGGTGGCTTTTCCTCCACCTGTACCTTTTAACAGCTAAGTGACACGTAGGAATCGTACAGGTGAAACTTTCCCCACTGATGCCAACTCCTTGCTAGGAAAACTCTGTGCTTGTTTGTTTTCTTCCTGTTGTGAAAGGTCTTAAAGGAGCCCTGCCAGAAAAACATATGTTCCTTAAATGCATTTTTAAAATGGGTCGTAGGGGAAAAAAAACAAAAAACAAATCACAGCAGTGACATCAGTTTGGGCTGATGATTGACTTCTATCGGTAACTTGGCAGGAAAACATCAACCAAAGATTTCCAGAAAGAAAGACGCTTGCTAGAGTTGTCTGTCGCAATTCAAATAAATGACAGGTTGTTTCTCTGGGGAGGAGACACCCGTGAAATAAAAACTCTTAGCGACTGTAAGGATTGGAAGCTACGAGATAAGGAGCCCCAACAGAGCAAGAACTCTACTCTGGAGCAATATTTAAGTCAAATACATGCCAAACAATAATATACTTTTATCAGATTGATTCTCAAACCAGTTGAATTGGTAGTCCTTGCATTTAAACTGATCTAATCTCATTTAGGATGAAAGCATTGTCAAACCTATTCCCTCTTGTCTCTCTTGCTGGGTTTGCCAGTCTTGGGCCACCGTGGCCCAAGTATTCAGTTGATGTTTAACACACAGCTTGTACTTTTATTTGCTCTGTGATACATTTTAGTAGGGTGGCCGCCTGCATGTATGCCTGGGCTCCTGTACCAGCTGCATGGTGTTTAGCAACTCAGTAGGTGACGTTTTCACTACTAGAGAGAAGCTGAATGTCATGAATTTCTATCATGCAGATTTTGAAGACTCAGTAGAGCCAACAGATGCCCCCTAAATCTGTGATTTTGCTGTTGTTTCTCATAATAAATAAGGCTGCTGCCTAGACCAGGGGTCCCCAACATGGTGACCACCAAATGTTTTTAGAAAGTGAGCCGGGGTTGCCAGCCTCCAGGTGGGGCCTGGAGGTCTCCCGCTTTTACAACTGATCTCCAGCTGACAGAGAACAGCTCCCCTGGAGAAAGTGGCTGCTTTGAAGAGTGGACACTATGGCATTGTACTATGCTGAGGCCCCTCCCCAAATCCCGCCCTCTCTTGGATCCACCCCCAAAGACTCCAGGTATTTTCCAACCCAGACCTGGCAACCCTAAAGTGAGCAGAGCGAGGTGTGGCTTTTGCCCAGTAAGGCTTCTTATGGGCCTTGATTGGCTATGATCTGATTGGCTATGCAGATTTTTCAACACATTGCTTTGGCAGCAGCTGCCATCACAGCACAAGGGTCTTCTTCACTGTATGACTGAATGTAACCATTGTGTGGCTGTTTCCGTTTCATGTGGCAGCCATTCTGTGGCTGTGCCTACCATACTGTGTCAGAATTCCAGAGGTGCCTGCAGGCTCAAAAAGGTTGGGGATCCCCATGTAAGTGGGTTTTACCAACTTCATTTGGTTATCCAGCTGTGTTTTTTTTCCTGGAGAGGAATGACCCAGTCACAATGTCATTCAGTTCTTAAATTACATTCAGGCTTGACTGCTGTAAAATGCTGCAAATTAAAGGGCGACAGGGTCCAGTTCAAAAGCTGACCAGACCTGCAGATGACCCCTGGTCAGGGAAAACTATAATGAACAGGCAGACCTTTAGGCAACACACTGTGTACTTTACAATGCACAAAAAGTACAATGGCCCTGATTGGGCAGAAAGACTATGAATTTTGTAAGCAAGGCTATGAATTTTGTAAGTAAGTAAAATGTCATCACAGAATAAAAGCACGTTTATCTCTGATTAGTGAGTTTTATAAATAACATTTTTAAAATGTGTTTAGAAAGTGTGTATGCTGCCTCTTCAGAGACCTCCTCAAGGTGACTCAACACAAAAGGATAAAATCATAAAAACATAACATCATTAAAATGAACAAACCTATTAAAAACCCAGTGCAGGGGCCACAATCATTCAAGGGAAAACCATAGAGTTTTCCTTCAGATGATAGAGCACCCCCCTGCAACGTGCCTCATGCGATTACATCATCTCCGGGTGACGTGTTCACCCTGGGAACATCGCGCACTTTGGGGCTGGGGTCCCCCCGGGTGGCCCGATCCGCACTGGTGTGGAATGGGCCTCTTGGGTGGGGGTTTCCCTGCCCTCCGGGGGGACTTGGCAACCCTAGTTCTGCCTCTTCAGTTCACCTGGAGAAAATGTACCCATAAATAAATTCCAGTCAGGATATGAGCTTTGGACTTGTTGGACTCTGACCCAGTTCAAACCGGGCCCTGTCAAGTGAGGGTTGCCAGATTTGTGTTTTGGCAGGGCTCCTGTGTTTTTAACTGCTGTGCGATGGGTAGAAAGTAGGTGGTAGCTGGAGATCTCCTGGGATTACAGTGGGTCTCCAGGCAACAGAGATCAGCTCACCTGGAGGAATATGGCTACTTTGGAAGGTGGGCTCTATGGCATTATGCCCCACTGAAGTCCCTCCTCCCCAAACCCCGCCCTCCTCAAGCTCCACCCCCAAAATCTCTAGGTATTTCCCAACCCAGAGCTGGCAACCCTAGAATGAAAAGGCCTAAGTTGTGTAGGCCTACTAACTGATCCATTAATTAACTAGATAGAGTCAATATAGTGGCATATTGCGATGAATGTGACCTTTTGGGCCTGTTTGGTGAAGGAATTGGTTTTATGACCCAGACAAATCAATCATTTATATCCTTTGGTAAAATAGTCTTAAATACACTGTCCTGATTAAGGAAGTTCCAGGAGCAGATTTTTATATGCACAGTATGTGGAGTTGCCAACAGGCCTGAAGAAAAATATCCTGTCCTTTTAATAGAGGCTTAATGGGATGTTATTTACCAGGTGATGTTGTTTACTTCCACTTCATTAAAAGCTTCAGCTGCCCCTTTCCACACCTTTAGCCTCTTTTAAAGGGACGGAACATTTTTCTCCCAGCCTTTTGGCTACGCTAACAGTACAGCATCTGTGGACAATCATTGTTATGTAGGGAAGCTTCATGTGACAACTGATGGCATTACATGTGGCATGGAGTTGCTAAATGTACTCTGCCCACCCACACAACAAGCTTTTCTGTACCTGGTAATGACTGGTTTCTACATACCGATTGTGTTTGCTACTTTAGGGCAAATCGCTTTATCCCTAAACAGGGTGCTTACTGCACAAACAAATCAATCATATATGTGCTTTGCCCACATGGGGAGCTGCCTCCAGAGGTAGACTAAAATGCGGCACCTCCTGTTTGCGCAGAGTTTCACACGCTCATCATCAGAATCCCACTGAGCATTAAACAGGTGAGATTTTGGTGGATCAGTGGCAGGGATGCTGTCCGCCCTCTATTAGGAGACATCTTTAATGGGGCTGATTAAATTAATGTGTTTAAATTTGTAGTTCATGATGTAGGATTAATCACACCGAATCATGATTTTAGATAACCTAAAAGAAGACCGATGGGGTAGTAAGACTGCCTAAAGCTAAATAAATACACTATTTTGTTTGTAGCATCAGCGTCGATTGAAACTTTATTTCCATACTGGCACGTAAACTACTAAAGGCTAGGGAAAGTTCCTCCAACAGAATAGCTGCATAAGTTAAAGAAAAACTTTTTAGGCTAGAGAAGAAGAGCTTCAAATTTTGCTCAGCAAAGGGGTCTTATTAATGTTCCTGCACTATCACACATTCACTACGATAAGCTGTTTTTGTCTGTGTCTTTCCTTCATGGCAGAATAGCAAATTTTAGACCTTTTGTAACAGAGTTGCCAACCCCCAGGTGGGGCCTGGAGATCTCCTGGAATTTACAACATCTCCAGACTACATAGATCTGTTCCCCTGGAAAATATGGTATGGCAGACCCCTCTTTCTTTCCCAACACCCAGGCAGAATTTTCCCACCAAAAATATTTTAGTTCCCCTCGGTAACTGAGTCGCCCTCCAGAAGCGTGTATTTCTTCTTTGTTTGATAAACTTAAATTGTCGCACCCGGTCACAGATATTTGTTTAGGCTTTAGACCCAGTACAGGTACTTGAGGGAAATACAGGAGCTGTCTTGTTTTATAAGCCCTTGTGAAATAGCACTTGAGGCAGATTAACTTTCAAAAACAATAAAATGTTTATTAAACAGACAGGGAATATTATAAATATGAGGATTCAAAGTATAGAGGTTGCTGAGATAAAACGTTTTAATATATACAGAACTGAGACTTTTGTACATACAAGAGAGTGTCATTGAAGCTTAAATTCTGAGTTTCAAGTTCTTTTCCGTGAGAGGTTTTTGCTTATTATATATTTCAGCTGTTACACAGAACTTTAATACAGGTTCTTAGAGCATAGCTTTGTCTTAGTGCTTCTAGATTTCTCCCTTTAGAGGTCTAGGTTTTCCCTTTAGATATTATAGGGGAATTTCAGACAGACGATATATTCCGGAAGAGGAACGGTTTCCAAATGGTTTCTGGTCTGTCATTTCAGACAGAACCGTTTGAGAACCGGTTCCCTTCTGGAATATATTTGCCATTTCATACACAAACGCTTCTGTCCCGGGAAACGGGACTGAAGCGTTACCTGTCAACTGCTTCAGCCCCATTGGAATGCCTGGAGTGTTTTGTTATAGTGTTATAGCGCTATAAAGTGAACAAAAAAAAAGCTGGAGATCGCCCGCGCAGGCGAAAAATCGCAGGGAAAAAGCGGTGCAGTCTGAAATGGCAAACCGCTTCTGATCCGGCTCATTTCCGGTATGGGAAAGCCCTGTGTGAAATGGCAGCTCTGTACCGGTTCACTTCAAAATGGATCATTACCGGCTTGAAACCGAGCGAAACTGGGTAATGTGAAATTCCCCATAGTTTTTCACTAACTCCTGAGGTGTCTAAGCTTCTCCCCTTTATAACAGACCAGGGTTCTCTTCCCAACCTCTTTCACTGGCAGGAAGTTATTCTCCTTGTCCTTAAGGAGTAATAACTCCTTTTACTATTTGGCTTGTATGGGAGGTCTCTCTAACTACCCAGACCTTCTACCAAACCCTTCTTCAGTATCTGTTGTCTGTATAAATCTGTACTGTAGCTTCCTTGACTGAGAATCTAAATTCTCCCTCAGAGTAGTTCTGATATATTTAAGACTATGGGGTCCTTATTCTTCTCTCTATAGAAGTACTTTTCTGACAATTCCCTGACAGAAATCACTGACTCCCAAAGTCCCTTCCCTCTTCCAGATGTCAAATTTCAGACAAAGACCCAAAAGATGAATGGAAAACTTTCCCCTCCAGATCAACTGTTTTATTTCCTCCTTAAGCTGATGCTGGCCAATCAGAGAACTAGTAGAGCACCCAATCACATAAGCTGTTCTCTCCAGGGAAGATTAACCCTTGAACCTCCTGACTCTCTGAAACAAGCAGCATTGTAAAAAGCCTGCTTTTGTTTGCTATCTGTCACATATGGCATAATATTCTGCTGAGCTCCCTTTCTTCCCCAAACACTGCCCAGGTTCCTCTGTCAGATCTCTAGAAATATCCCAACCCAGAGCCGGCATACCTAATATGTGAATAACATGAAATGTTGGCGGGAGTGGCATTGTGAATTCTTGTCTAATGTCAGAATCAGTCGCAATAGCTGTACCTATGAGTCTATGCTCTTTCAGAGTGCAGGATTCAATTTATACAATATTAAAAAAAATGAAAAAAGAAGAGGCTTGAGAATACCAAAATTTAATCATTTATTTTAATGATGCACCTTGCAGAAAAATTATAACACTGATAAAGTTTGTTAATAATGCAGGGAAAATTCCACCCGAGTTGTGCTTTCTCTGGCAGAATGCATAGAGAAATGACTCTACAACTTTGACATTTTAGGTCATTCTTGTAAGCCCAACAGTAAATAATGTCTCCAAAGTACAGTCACTTAGTTTTCTTTCTGTAAACAAAAAGGCACCTAGTGTATAAAACTACCCCTGAAATCTATTAATGTTTGCCGTTGAGTGTCTTCTACTCCAGCCAATGTAAAATATTAGAGTTTTGCAAAGGAAAAGTGATCCAGGGAAGCTTTGAGGTACCAGTAGGATAGCACAAGTAATGGGTTTTATTGGATAATAACAGCACTGGCGATTAATAATGCTAGATGCTTTCTTTCACAGTTATATCTTGGGTTCAAAACCTAATATTTGTTGTTTGAGATTTGTTTTAAAAAATCAATGGCCTACATCTTAACATCCCAGTAAGCAAAGTTTGAAGGCTTCCTCCAGTTTAAGGGGAAGGAGAGCCGCAAATTGGTGGAAGGAAACATCCACCAGCCTAAAGTAAAATAGCGCCCAAAAGCTTTATGCTGGAGCAGATATGCAATGTGGAAAGAGGTGCAGAAACCTACTCAAAAGAAACGTATTCGTGTGAGAATATATATCTAGATGTCTGAAGCTCGCTGGCCTCCTCTGCCACCACAAAATTTGTGCTTGGGTTTCTTTTTTTGTGTGACTTTGTTCTATCCCGAATATGTTGGAATTTGGCTGGGGGGTAGTGAGGACACCCCCAATAAAATTTGCGTAAGCTTTTCACAGTCAGGGCAGTGGTTAATCACAGCCCATTCCCGATTTCTTCCTTTCTTGGCTTTCCAGTTGGAATATTCAGAGTGTGGCTATTCTAAATAAACATGGTGAATTAATGAGTTTAATTATTGCTACTATTAGCAAAAGGCCTATAATTAGGACAGGGGTGTGTGTGTGAAAGTCTTGCACAGTACAAGGATCCCTTGGGAACGTAAAATGCGTCCTGCACACGGATGTTTTGGTGCTGTGTGTATTGTCAGAGGGTAGCCATGTTGGTTTCTAGTAGAACATCAAGATTCAAGTCCAGTAGCCCCTAAGTGACCAGCAAGATCTTAGAGGTATGAACATTCGAGAGTCAAAGGTTTCTGACAAAGGGAGCTTTGACTTTTGAAAGTTTATACCCCAAAAATCTTGTTGGTCTTTATTATGTGTTATTTCTGTCAGTAATGCCTAACCCACCTAGTCTCAAGGGTGGTAGGTAGGTAGGTTTTGTTCAGTGTGCCCCCAGTGCTTTTCCCCACAGAGGAAACGGCAACCATCCACTTACAGAAAATGAAAAGGGGAATTTCTGAGTCTGTATGTTGGGGGAGGGTATCAATATGCCATCAGCCCTGGCGACCCTGGCTATGAAAAACCAAGCTGGCTCTTCTTTGAATAGTCCCGCCCCTTCATTTGCATAGCTGGATCCTGGGCTTTGCTTATTGGTCAAGCTAGAGTACGTTGGAATGTTGGGAAATGGTATTTAATAATTTGAAGTAGGGTGTATTGTTAAATTGGTAGTGGGGTGTGTCAAAGATTAAGTACATTTCCTTTTTGCTTTGTTATGCAATGAAGATAGCCTCCGAACAGTGTAATCCTAAACAAAGTTATTCCAGTCTAAATCCATCGAAAACAATGGGTTTAGACTGGAGTAGCATTTCTTAGAATTGCACAGTAAATCACATGTTGTGTATCATCATGTCCCCCTCCCATTTCTCTGTACACTTCCTAGCTTACAACCTGCCCTCCCATGTCCAGTACTTGTAGAATAGAACTCAGCCCATATAGAAACAAAAAAGAGTGATGCTTATAAAAACACCAGTCCTGGGGATGCCTAGTCTGAAATAACATCCCATTTCAATAGGGCTTGCTCCAAATAACCATGCACAAGGACAGCAGCCTAACTCTTCTTGTTTCTCCATCGAAGCGAGAAGATTCTCAGCAGGTATGAAGACAAAATAGCCAGGAGCTCATTGCTTTCAAAAAATGTGTTGTGTTCGTCTTCAAAGAAGCCACTTAAATTCTTTTCTTACAGATATGACCGCTTTGCTCCAGGTCGCCTTACATCTTCCAAATTGGAGGAAATGGCAAAGGTAAGATGCTGAACGGTTTTATTACTCCATAAATGCTAAGGCCAGGGGGCATTTGGAACACAGCACAGGCAATTTCACACTGCTGCTCCTTTGCCTGGCGGAATCTGAACTCTTTCCAAGATGCTGCTTATTTCAACAAGAGTTACACGGTAGCCTCGGCACCTGATATTTCAATCACCCATCAGGTTGCATAGTGGAACTGACGCCCAAGGAGTGAGTGGGGTACTCAGTTTTTAGAGTCTTCCAATGGAGGAAGGAGTCCCAGAATTTCACTTCCCGCCCTCCGAACCCTGTTAATCATGCCAAAGTCATGGAAGGAGGTGTTTGTAATACCTTCAGCACTGGGCAATGAGCCTGTAATGTGGAGCAAATCAGTACTTCTGGGTCCCCAAACTGAAGTCTATCAGTGTGGCTTCCAGACACCTGTTAGTGGCATGGTAAGGTAGGTCAGTGGAGGACTTGGGTAAATGCAAGTCATCGAAGATGATGTGCTTATCTGGTTGGGCAGGCACTTTTTTTAAAAGGGAGAAACCTGGCTGGCAAACAGGATTGAGTACTGCTAGGATCAATACCTCCTGGAAAAAATCCAGGTTTCAACTGGGAGGTGCACTCTTCGGCATGGTTATTTATACAGAACAGAGGGCCAAGCAGTACACAGCACTGGAGTTCCATAACTGACATTTCAGACGTGCAATGTATCCCTTAAAAGGAGTCGCAGGAGAGGGGATATTGTTTGGGGCCCTTAGTAGTGCTGTAGAGTGGTTAACCAGTCCCCCTCATATGCACTCTTTTCCCAGATGCAAATGCACCCCCCTGACACACACTGCTTTAAGCCTCAGTAGGCAGGGGTCCTTTCGTAGAAAAAGAGGTGCAGGAGCTCATTAGCATAACTCATTAGCATAACTTATTTGCATATGCCACACCCCCTGACATCATTGGAAGTGTGTCAGAAGGCAACACCCACCGCTCAGGCTCCACTGGACTGTTTTGGATTGCTAGCTTTTTTGGGGGGGGGGGAACGTGCAAATCTGTCCTCACAGAGGAGGGAGAGCTTGTACCTGAATAAAACTTGGTCTTAAAAGTGCCACTGGAGTGTTTTGGACCGGGGAGCCAGGGGGCTCTGCAGCTTACCTGGCTGCTTCTTGCTCTGACTGAGGGCTGCTGGGAGCAGGGGGTGTGGTTTGTTGCATGTGCCCACCCCCTGGGCTCTTTACTGCCGGAGCTCTGCTCCTGTGCGCTCCTGCAGGAAATGACCCCTGTCAGTAGGGAAAAAATGACAAGAACCATATTGTTGTATCAGGAGTTAAAGAAGCTTTGTGGGGAGACCACTTTCCACTGGGGAAACCACTCAGGGAGAAACATTAACTCCCCTTACCCTGCACCATGATCCTGATCCATATTGCTCCCCCCCCCAGTGACTGCTTTTTAAGGGTCAAATTACATGTCAAGTAGACTTCTAGTCACAGAACTCCAGTATCTGGCCCTAAATATTACAAGAAACATGAGACTGCTGCTCCTGCGTCCTGGCCTTAGCCTGTACCCGCTGTACAACAAACTGACCAACTGAGCTGGTGTGTATGGGAATTATATGGTCACCTAAGGCATATTACAAACAATGTGCTCCCGTCCTCTTGGTAATGTTCCAGTGTTTTAATTGTATTTTAAATGATTGGTATTTTATGATTATGATTATATATTTTGATAAGTTTTAATTGTGTTTTTATGGAAAATCTGTGAGCTGCCCTGAGCCTGCCTTTGGCGGGGAAATAAATAAATAAATAAGACCTAATTATAATAATAATAAAAATGGCACCCCAGTCTCAAGTCCCTTCTTGAGCCGTGCCTTTATACTACTATAAAGTGCAGCCAGGCAGAGGTGGGGAAATGCAGTGATTTAAGCTTTAAAATTTAAAGGTCACAGGGTATGTAGTGTTGGATATTTTGGAGCAGAAGCTAAACTGTTTTTTGTGTGTGTGTTTTTGGAAGCAGACCTATGTTTCCCAGTGTTTAACTGACATCAGCATGGTGTTCACATTTGCTAGGACATGTTAGGGGGCAACCAGCGGAAGTCCTTTGCGGAATTCTTTTACCGATACCCAGGAGTGTGTCTTGAGAGCCAGCTTGCCCCACCTCACTACAGTTGGCTTAGTGTGCCTTTATGTAATGAGTATGTCACAAATGGGACTGTAAGCGAAGAAAAAATGTACAGTTGTGTTCCTCACTGAGGATAGTAGCTGCTATACGTCATGGCCCGCAAATGTGACTGTGCCAGTGAATGCTGTCATAGCAACTATGATTCTGGCACCATCAGTGACAACAGTCGTGATGTCACAGATGAAAGACATGCAAATCCGATGGCTCTGAATGCTACGATAAATTCTTTTAGCTAGAGCTTATGGACTAGGAGAGAGAACCACCAGCGTTACACCTTCTGCTGGTTTGTCATGACATATTCCTTCTCTTCGTGTTCAGAGGAACCACAGGACAATCCTTGGAAACCATGAGTTGTTTCATGTTCTGCTGTTTAATCTAATGCAGTGATTCCCGGGATTTGGGTCAGGGCAGGCTTCTGTGCTAACAGAAGCATCCAGGTGCTCCTTAAAAAAATTAAGCCAGCAGACTGAATGCATTGACCGCTCCATGTCCATTGCAGTAGGGGGTCTTTGACATCTTCCACCAAATACACTGGTATCTCCTGATGAAGCTTACAATGCAGCTGACAGGCATGGGGGAATCCCAGAAGCCTCACTAGAGCCCAGAAAGGGTGGCTCCATTCCGGAGCTCTAGCTGACTGTGCAAAAGGGAAGAGAAGAAGAGGCCGGGAGGCCTTATTAACTCGGCTATTCTGCAGTTGTGAGGAGGATTGCCTGTCAACCGATCTGGGAGCTCATCCAGAAAGCATAAACATGTATTTGTGTGCGTGTGTGTGTGTGTGAGAGAGAGAGCATAAAGTGTGCCTCATGTTTTAATTCAGGGGGGGGGAACAGTGCCACAGCTGTTCAGGGCACAGGAATCACTTCACTGGGCCTGGTCCAAACTTGAGAGCCAGTTTGGTGTAGTGGTTAGGAACGCGGACTCTAATCTGGGCGAACCAGGTTTGATTCCCCACTCCTCCACATGCAGCCAGCTGGGTGACCTTGGGTCAGTCACAGTTCTCTCAGAGCTGTTCTCTCAAGAGCAGTTCCCTCAGAGCTCTCTCAGCCCCACCTACCTCACAGGGTGTCTGTTGTGGGGAGGGGAAGGGAAAGGAGATTGTAAGCTACTCTGAGACTACTTCGGGTAGTGAAGGGTGGGGTATAAATCTCATTTCTTCTTGTTGTAAGATTCTCCCCATATCGCATCTCATACACACACTCCCATAAGTCACAAGAGAAAGATTGTCTGTTTTATTTCTGAAAGAACACTAATAGATGATGTTTGCAGCCAGGGTGGGCCCTGGTAAAGTGTACTCACTTGCCCTCTCTGTGTTTGGGCCCTGCAGGGTATTAGAAGTTTAGGAAACTAATTCTTAAACCCAGTCAAGCCCACGAATGGGTAGGTTTTCAACTTCCCGTAAAAGTTAAGACTCCAAGAAAGCAGTCAAGTGTGTAGTCTACCAATAAACCATTGGTTCTTGAGTATGATGATCTCCCTGCCACCTTTGTCTCTCCTATGGAAAATTTTAGATTGTAAGTTCCTTGGGGCAGGGGCCTTTCATTTTGTGATGGTGCTAGGCAAACAACCTTTCTCTTGATGTGACCTAACATCATTATATACTGAAAAGAAGGCAGGAAAGTCTGTGTAAATAGGGATATGGCTTTCTCAATTTTATGAAGTGGAATATACATGGGAAAATTGAAAAGTATTACATACTCCCATGTACTGAGCTATTTGGGCAGCTGTTTTTTTCAGTTTGACGAAACCTAGATACTTCTTTGACTGTTTCCCCCCACAGACGGAAACATGTAACTCTCCTTTGGCCACTAAACTGACGAATAAGCGGTTTGATGGAAAGCAAGCCGAGGTGATGGAAGACACCTCTACCTGGAATGAGCAGCTGGAGAAAGAGCTCTTACGGGGTAAGCACAGGTCCTCACTCCATGTTGGCTTTGTATTCTGGACACCAGTTATTTCCAAAACTAGGATACAGGAGATGGCTCCTGGAAAAAAAACATACCTTGGCATCCTGTACCTCTCTAAATAGCTTCACCTTTGACAGATGACAGTAAGTGAATGGAAGACATTCACCTTTGTGCAACAAGATAATTGAATTATCATCAAGCCAGTAGACAAAGGTGGTGCCATGGTTGGACTGAAAAAGTGGAAATAGGTGGATGTACCATAAGGTTCGTTTGTTTATTTGCCCAGCAGTAAATGATCCAGTCTGGCACATTAACAGCACAATCCTAAGTAGAATTATACCATTCTAAGCCCATTTAATTGAATGGACTCAGAAGGGTGTAACTGTGCTTAGGGATGCATTTCTCTGGTCATACTTGCAAGACTGCCTCTTCCGATATGTACTTGTGCAGCAGTTGTGCTTTGTAGATCAGGGGCTACTGGCCAGTCTGTCCTGTGCAGTATTAAAAGCAGCAGTGGCCTGTTTATCAGGAAGGCTACCTTTCTAAGTGTTGTATGGTAATGGTATTTAGGAGGTCTGTCCCTGCTGACAGCTGAGGGTGAGAAGTATAGTTTTTAGATACGCTGGATTTGTATTTTAGTGGCTGGTTATAGTTATAAATTCATTGTTTTTCACTTGTCATTGTAGTCTACCTTGAGTCCCCTATGGAAGAAAGTGGTGGACTAAAGGTTCTCCAGGTTTTTTTAAAAAATGTCAGTTTAGTCAAAGAAAAACTTTGACTTTGCAATAAATAAACTCCTATTTTACCTATTGTCCAAAATTCAGGGGACAGAGATGCCACCTCCAGATTGTCCCAGGATCTGGTTCTCTTCCAGAACTTCTTTTGAAATGTGTGGATACCTTCTGCAATGCATAGATGTGTGGATCCCATAGAATATGCTTCTGACAATATCCTGTGACTACAGACAGGAACATAAGAAGAGCCCTGCTAGACTAGAGCCAACAAACAGGGTATATAGGCTTCTACTGATGTTCCATCTTAGCACTGGTATTCAGAGGTTTGCTGCCTCTGAATACAGAGTTCCCTTTAGTCTCCATAAACCCAATCCAGTTTAAAACCATCCATGCTCATAGCCATCACTACATCCTCTGACAGTTGAATTCCACAAGTTAATCTATTTGTTGAGGAAAGAAGTATTTCCTTTTGTCTGCCCTGCCTGCACTGAACTTCATTTGCCATGTTGTTGCCCACTCACCCAGTTTAGAGAAATCCTCCTGGAATTCTTCACAATCCACCTTGGTTTTCACCATCCTGAGTATTTTGGTATCATCTGCAAAACTGGCTGCTACACTGCTCACCCCAATTTCAGATTACTTATGAACAAATTAAATCCCGATCCTTGAGGGATCCCACTGTTTACTTCTCTCTATGGCAAGAATTGTCCACTTATTCCTACTTTCTACTTCTTGTCATTTAACCAATTTTAATCCATAAGATGATCTCTACTCTTATCTCATGACTGTTGAACTCACTCAGGAGTTTCTGAGGTACCTTGTCAAAAGCCTTTTGAAAGTTCAAGCATATAATGTCTAACAGTTCATTGCTATCCCAATGCTTGTTTGTTTTCTCAAAGGACTCCAAAATTCTGTCTTGGATTACAATTTCTAATAACCTAATAATTCTGTCTTGGATTACAATTTCTAATAATTTGCCTGGGGCAGATGTTAGACTAAGTAACCTGTAATTTCCTGGTTCTCCTCTGGACCCCTTTTTAAAAATGGATGTAACATCAGCTACTTTCCAGTCTTCTGGTAAGGAGGCTGATTTTAATGACAAGTGACATAACTTTGGTTAGCAGATGGACAAATTCCATATTTCAGTTCCTTAAGACCTTTTAGGAGTATGCTGTCTGGCCCTGGAGACTTATTCCTTTTCAGTTTGCCTAGTAGTCCTAGAACTTCATCTCTCTTCACTTCAATTTTACTCAGTTCTTCAGACACCTTTCTCAAAAAGAGCAGCTTCAGTGTGGATGTGTGCCCCACATTTTCCACAGTGAAAATGGACATAAAGAAATAATTCAGTTCCTTGGACATCCTTGGACAGTTTTTGCCCGATGGGACAGTGCCTTGGACATCTCCCCATCTTGCTTAAGCAGTGCTTTTGGTCCTTTGTCACCTAAAAGAATAGCTTGCCTTCCCAAAGCCAGAGATCACTCTACTTTTGTGCAGCTATATTGGCTGCTAAGGTAGGTCACTATTAAAATCTACCACATTATTTAAAATTAAAAGCTGCTGAGATGCACAGTTTTATATATATATGTTGTGTCCCGTCCCCTCCATCATCTTTCATCTGAACTAAGAAAGCCCTCACTCCTAGTCTTTCTATATAGAAAAAGCTTCCACAGTCATTGCAGTATCCACAAAACAAAGGCGAAAGGAATGCTTGTGGGAAAGACCCATTGAAGATATATGCCACCATAGTAGAGCTAGCGTATGCATCCTACCGTGCACTTATGAGTATTCATAACAAGGGCTTGTGATAGTCCCTTTTGGCTGATGCAATGCCTACTTTTTCCAATTATTAGAACAGAGAGGGACTGCAAGCTTCTCAGGATAACATGGTAACTGGTGGGGGCCCCCACCAGCATTGTCGTTGCTGGCATTGCAATGCAGTGGTATCATGATTATGCATGGAAAAGAGCAGGTAGAGAAAGAGGTACTTTTCTCCCTTTCTCACAATACAAGAACTCGTGGGCACTCCATGAAATTGCTGAGCGGTCGGGTTAGAACGGATAAAAGGAAGTACTTCTTCACCCAAAGAGTGATTAACACATGGAATTCACTGCCACAGGAAGCGGTGGCGGCTACAAGCATGGACGGCTTCAAAAGGGAATTAGATAAGCATATGGAGCAGAGGTCCATCAGTGGCTATTAGCCACAAGGTATAGATAGGGACTCTGGGGCAAGTGATGCTCTGTCTTCTTGGTGCTTGGAGGGGGTCAACAGTGGGAGGGCTTCTAATGTCCTGGCCCCACTGGTGGACCTCCTGATGGCACTGGTATTTCTGGCCACTGTGTGATACAGAGTGTTGGACTGGATGGGCCTTTGGCCTGATCCAACATTGGCATCTCTTATGTTCTTATGTTTATGTTCACTCTCTGTTACATCAACACGGCATTAAAGATTCTCTGGTGTTTGGGCAAAACTCTATGGTTTAACCAGAATGTTCCCACTGTCCCCTGACAATATGGTGATGTCACCACCAGGCGCATGCGGAGTGATGTCAGCATACCAGGATGCTGCTGACATTCCTCCCCATTTCCCACCGTTTCTCCCCATTGGCCAGCTGAGCAGTGGCACGGAAGCACCCAGCAAGGGAACTGCAAGCCTGCCGGCAGCCCTAAAAGGAAACCAGAATCCAAAAGGCCAGTCCCATCCCAGACCTGGCCACGCTTGCAATTGTACAGTGTAAATAATTTTGTCTCTCTCTTACTGTGAGAGCTGCAGTTTACTCAAAATATGTATTTATTTATTTTATTGGATTTCTATCCCCCCCCCGCCCCCGTAGAATGTTAGCTTGAATTGCATCGCTTATGCAAGGACTAAAGTTTTGATGGTATCTGCCAAGTATATTTATCCTTTTTTTCTCCCCCTTTCCAGTTCTGGGGAGTCTGGATGAGCAGCTGGCACAAGAACAAACCCAAGGTCCAGCAAAGAGAAGGACTACAACCGACTATGGCTGCAGAACATCAGACACCAATCAGTACCCCACTGTTACCAGACAGAGTTTCCGGAGGGGAATGCAGAGGAATGAGCGGAGCATGTTTTTGCCCGATGGGACAAGGACCCTGAGAGCCAGAGAGGAACACCCAGCTTTCTTCCGCCCAAGGACACTTTACGATACATACATGAAAAAATATCACGTGGAAGATTACGCGAACCAGAATGTGTTGGACAGAAGGTCTCCTGTTCCAAAGAGATGGTGTTCTACACGTTCTCTTGGACATTCCTCTGAAGGCAGCTTGGAACACCTTTCAGGCCTACGTGGCAGCGGGTTTCAGTGCAGGGACTTCCGATGCACAGATACAGTTAGCAGAAGTTATTCTTTGTCTTCTCTCTCTAGGCGCCAGTCTTCAGGATCCGTTGATCTGCTTCCCTCAGAAGGTCTGCAGCATCCTTGCAGTGAAAGGCTACAGAACGTTCATGCAGCGGAAGGCAACAGAACGTTCACGCAAAGGAATTATCGCCACCCTTCCAAGCGGACTCCTCTATCGTCTATCGTATGGAACCCACCACACTCCTCAGAACGTCCATTAGATCAAGACAGGATACTTCGGACGCAATCCTTAATGGACTTTGGCCCTAAATTTGAAGATACATATCCTTGTTCTCCTTGGGACAATACAAAATATGAATTTTACCGATCAAACCTCAGTCACAGACGAGCAGTACCAAACGCCAGTCATTCAAGCAGGGTTGGTTATCCTGACAAGTGTACAGACCCTCTGTGTTTTGAAAATTGGGAAAATTATGTACTGCGTCAGCCAGAAAGGAATATTGCAAGCCCTTGCAACAGATATTCATCGCTGCGTGGTAGGACACACCTCTTCCACAAGAGATTTCCTTCTGGAAGAACGGAGGAGCAGCTTTTGGGGCCTGACAGTAACCAGTATTATAATGATGACCCCTTTCTTGCCTGTGATGCTGACTTTGAAAGGATTCCAACCAGTCTTAACTGGCAAAGTGCCCATGCAAAAAACACTGGTTTACAACAACGTGAAAGTGATGCTCACAATAATGTACCGGAACACATGAGGAATACGGATCGTTTAGACAATGAAACCACTGAAGAGTTTTTAAAGCACACAAAAGGCATAGAGAACCGTCCAATGTATACCTCAACAGCCCCTTTGCCATTCATCAGAGCGAGGGCTTTCAATCAGCCTGTCCTATCTGATTCAAGGGGCCCAGCAAAATACGCAGCTCAAAGGCAAAATCTGTTCACTAGGGGTGGACTTGTAAAGCCTTTGGTTACACACACTCAAGCCAAGGAAGACTTCCAAACACCTCCATCAGAGGAGTTGAGGGATACCGGCCAGCTAAGCAGAGGAGGCAATGGAGACCTTAAAGAAGGGACATTGGGACCAGTTTCTGGGGGAGCGGACACAAACCATCCAACTGAATGTCCTCCTAAGAACTCTTCAGCAGCTGTCCCACAGACCAGTACATCTTTTAAACCACCCGTCTCGCTGGATTCGAATGTGCAAGCCAAGTCAGCTTCTTCAAGGGATACTGAAAAAATGTATTTATCAAGCACTCAGCAGAGAAATAGACAAAGCAAGGGAAATGATAGTGCTTTGAATAGTGACCTTGATCAAATGTCTGTTCCTTGGCTAACTGGTAACAGGACAAGGGATTTGCTTTTTCAGAGCTTGCAGCAGGGGACACGTCATTCTGAAAGCTTGAGAGTTCCCATGCACAAGAAGCCGCATGAGAATATCCGTTCGTCTGGTTTCGGTAGAGCCTGGAAAGGATCTGAAGGTGATGGATTATCAGACCCTTGCACTGAAAAGTCAAATATGCGCAGCAGTTTTGTTAGATATGCAACCAGCAACAGCATCACTGGCTCTCCCTGTAGTAGTCCTCCTAAGTCTCCGGTTATGTATTTCACCTTACCGAGAAAATCTGCCAGTATCGACGGTAGTGTTGTATCACAGAAACCTCTCTCTTCTCCTAAAAGAAGAGTCCCATTTGAAAAGCAGGCAGCTATGGAAGACAATTTAAAGAAACTTATAGCAAACAGAAAGGAAAGGAGTTCTTGGAATCAAAGAGACCCAATTGCCTATGCAAGTCCAACCCATTCTTCATTGCTTAAAGGTGTCGCCTATGAAAGAAACATCGCACAAACCGAAGGCCACCATCCCGATCCTTCCTTAAGAGCAACAGATAAGATTGTCAGAAAATCGGAAAAAAGCACAGTCACACGTTGTCTAGACAAAACGGAAACTACCGTGATCTCTGACTGTGAGGAAATGGATGCAGGAAACCCTTTGCAGAAATGTAAAACTACCAGTATGGTTACAGTTAGCGTTGACGAAGATAACATCAAATACCATGAGCTGATTTCGGTTTATTATACATTACCACGGAAACCTCCAAGAAAGTTGTGTGATCTCTTTCTAGATGACTCCAGTAATGTGGGTCCTTCCCCACCCTCAGGACAGAGCCCCTCCAAGAAATGTGTTCACACTGGTTTAGAAGCTGCAGGCTTTCCTTGCAATTTAGAAAAAGCAGACTTGTCTGCCAAGACATCTATCACTCCTGATATGTCACAGAACTCAGAAATTCCAGACAAAGCTAATGAAGAAGGCCCCCATGTTAGCAGTCCCATTACGGACTCGCTCCTCGCTCCTCAATCGCAATTTATGGGGAGTAACAGAAAAGGAGCACCAGAACAACTAATGGATGCTCAAGCACTTAGTGGCAACAGACCACTATGCCTTGGCACATCAAACCTGAAAATTCCTTTGGGAAAAGTTGCTGTACCATCTTCTACCCTAAACACCAGGAATGCTCAAAAAGAGACTCCCTTGGGTGGTCAGCCATTGGATGAATCAACCGTGAGCGACAAGCCACATATTCTTTCTTCTTGTTCTATGGATAGTGAAAAAAGGAAGTGTGCTTCAGATCCAGCAACTGATGCCCCAATGAGCTCTACTGAAGAGAAAATGAGGCGAGAAGCAAAGGTCAGAGAGCGGGCACGTCATATATGCCATATCCTTGCCCTACATAGCAAAAAAGGGAATGGGTTGCAGCCGAGAAATGAAAGGGTCACCAGCGGCACAGGTGAAACGTTAACTTCAGGGACCACTGTGCAGTCACATTCTGAGAACCAGACACTTCAGGTGGAAGCAGCTACCATAGTTAATCCATCACTTCAACCAAATACTCCAGTTACAGGTCTTTTGAAGTCTCCAAAACCTAAGCAAGAGCAGACGCTGCAGAATAGCCCAGTACACACAGTTTGCACAAGTTCAGAGATATCTGTGAGTAACTCAGTAGATAACCAGAACCTTATCTCAGAAGATCAGCTCCCAAGTACCGCGCCAGATTTCCCTGATGGTTCAACAGCTGAAAATAATCTTACTTTGGATAATGCTCAAGATAAAGCCAGTGAAACAGAAAAAAGAAAGAACAGGCCTTCATTTAAAAACAAGCTGGCAGCCATGTGCAAAACAAACAGGAAGTTTTCTAGTAAGAAAAACTTAAATCCTAAGCCACACGTAAGTAGTATATTTTCACATAATGACGCCCCTTCTTCAGAGTTAAGTGAACATCTGCTAATTTCATCAGTTGTCCCCCAGTCCCTTCTGCAAACTGGGAATGAGAACCAGAATCAGAATGCTCTGCCTGGTGCGCTTGAGAACAAGAAATCACAAACTCACGAGGGATCTCCGTTGGTTCCCAATGAGAACAGGAGGCCTTTTACAAACTTGTGCAATCAGAAAAGGGAAACTGACAGTTCCAGACACAGTGATAAAAGAGTAGAGAGCAACATTCCAAACCCTGCAGGTTTACGTAAAAAAGAAAGGGATCCCACACTAAATAATTTCCAAGCCCATGATGACGCTCCAGAAAATAACAATTGTCCCACAGTTTCCAGAGCTACTGCTGGAGATCTCAGCCAGAAGAAAAAAGACGTCACAACCACTGGGGAGTCTTCCTTGTTTTCCCCTTCATTTGATAAAAACTTAAACAATCTAACTAAAAATTATTCAAAAGCAAATATTTGTTTGCAACAGAAGGCAGTTCCTCCCACAGAATACGACCACTATCAAAAGCACTCAAATAGGTTAAAAAGTCAAAACCTGCCCCTTGTTGAGCCAAGTCCTAGCAAACCACAGCGTGAGCGCCATTTTTCTGAAAGTTCCTACACACACGAGCTCCATAAGACCCTGGCTCCAAAGAGCAGCTCGATCCGCCACAACAGTAGGAAATTTAATTCCTATTCTGAATTGTTGTCCTGCAATGAGAATGAGAACTGGGAGGCCTACAGTGACCCTAACAGGACCTTTGGATCTAGGCACTTAGTGTATCCATCTGTTGAATTCGGCATTTTTGGGAAAGAACAGCAGCAGGCTTTCTTGGATAATATAAAGAGATCACTTACTGAGGGACGGTTGTGGAGGCCGTGCCTTCTGAAGAACCCTGGCTTTCTGAGAAAGGAGGAGGACGGCTCCTTAAACAAGTCTGAGCTCCTGGGTTCAAGTTTCCCTGAGAGAAACAAGTCCAAAGAAGGTTCGTCCGAAAGGGAGCCTGTTGAAGCAGGCCCTGTGCATCATTCAGACTCTGACTCTGACACCACTACAGATGATGAGTACTACCCAAATGAGGACGATAGAGAATCTGAACTCTGAGAGGCTGTAAAATGAGATAAAGAAAAGACTTTTATTCTAAAAATGGCTCATTAATTCTTGGGCCATTCTGTAACATGTTAGGGACTGAGAGATGCAGAGTACAGTGGTGATCTGAGTGCATGGCTGTGATCACTGGGGAAATCTCAAAAAAACCCCACCTCATTAGCATGTTAGGTCACACCCTGACAGCACATCTCATTAGCATATTAGGCCACACCCCATGCCTTCCCTTGGCTTGCCTGGGTGCCCCGTGGCTGCAGGGAGCCTGGGAAATCCCCCCCCATTGAAATGCCTCCCCGATCCTTCCAGGCCCCCTCCGGCCCGCCCACCTTGGAATCGCCAGGAGTCGCTCTCCAGGCCTTCCCTCTGTAGTCTCAAAAAAACCCTGTGCTGCCCTATGCACAACTATCACCTTTGCATAATCCTTAAAGGATAATTTGTATTCCTCGTGGCAGTGAAGGTGGGGGCGGGGCAGGAGGAGGACTATTTGTCCTGGGCCTCAAGTTTAAAGGAGATACTTGTAAACTCATTGGTGTTTGGTTAGTTTCACAACTTGTTTTTTTTATGTGCATCATGCATCTGTCGTTTTTATCATAGCAGGGGCCTCCCAAGCAGGAAGCGGCCCAAGCCTCTTTGAACCTTTGAGAGGGCCCAGGCAGTGGAAATAGTAATGAGAATACAGTAAAGGTTGTTGGCAGGGGTCTTTTTGTAGCAGGAACTCCATTGCATATTAGGTGACACATCCCTAATGTAGCCAATCTTCCATGAGCTTACAGAGCTCTTCTTACAGGGCCTACCATAAGCTCTTGGAGGATTGGCTACATTAGGGGTGTGTCGCCTAATATGCAAAGGAGTTCCTGCTACAAAAAGAGCCCTGGAGATAAAGAAAAGACTTTTATTCTAAAAATGGCTCATTAATTCTTGGGCCATTCTGTAACGTGTTAGGGACTGAGAGATGCCAGAGTACAGTGGTGATCTGAGTGCATGGCTGTGATCACTGGGGAAATCTCAAAAAAACCCCACCTCATTAGCATGTTAGGTCACACCCTGACAGCACATCTCATTAGCATATTAGGCCACACCCCATGCCTTCCCTTGGCTTGCCTGGGTGCCCCGTGGCTGCAGGGAGCCTGGGAAATCCCCCCCCATTGAAATGCCTCCCCGATCCTTCCAGGCCCCCTCCGGCCCGCCCACCTTGGAATCGCCAGGAGTCGCTCTCCAGGCCTTCCCTCTGTAGCCACGCACACAGAGGTTTTGGCTGTAATGGGCGTCGCCAGCTCTGGAACCAGCTGGAACTCCGTTCCTGTGCGTTCCTGCCCAAAAATAGCCCTGTTCCTTGCACTGAGATGGGGAAAGTTTCACCTGTTGAATATGTGCCTGTCATGCAATTGTTGATATAGGCAAGTCATTCTGGGTGTGGGCAGGGTTGCCAGCCCTGAGATGGGTAAATGCAAGGGGTGGGGGAAGCGAACAAATTACAAGAAATATATTATAAATATTCAGCACTTATTAAAGATACTAATATCCATGTACTCTATTCATAACAATTCCAGAGTCTAATACATATATGTTCAGTCCATAACCATTTCCAGTCTCATCCAATAAAGTGCCTGTGTTGAAAAATGTGGTCAAAAGGTGGAACAGCAGTGTTCTACAGTCTCCATGTGCACGCATTTGGAAATTGTATTGCTTGAAAAACTATGTTTTGAAAACAGCAAAATGTTTTGAAAGACTTAACTGCTATATTTTGAAAACAACAAATTGATGACGTTTTTTGATACAGGGACTTTCATTCCTTTAAATATATTGGATGAGACTGGAAATGGTTATGGACTGAACGTATATGTATGAGACTTTGGAATTGTTGTATGAATAGAGTATATGGATATTAGTATCTTTAATAAGAGTTGAATATTTATAATATATTTCTTGTAATTTGTTCACAGGGTTTTTTCCCCTTGCATCTAGCCTCTTTCCGTGAATCTAACCTGGCCTGGAGATCTCCCAGAATTACAACTGATCTCCAGATGACAGAGATCAGTTCCCCTGGAGAAAATGGCTACTTTGGAGGGTGGACTCTATGGTATTATACCCTGCTGAGGTCCCTCCCCAAATTGCACCCTCTCCAAGTACCAACCCCAGCTCTGCAGGAATTTCCCAACCCAAGTTGGTAACCTTAGGGCTCGGGATGGAAACTTAGACTCCTATAGTCAGAGAAGGGTGGCCCATCAGGCTTTTGGCTGGGTCTGTACACGCAGCAGAATGAGGTGACAGAATTCTCCACACGGGGAGAGTTGCATTGTTAAGGTTTCTCTACTTTTATTTTTAAGGTCTGCAGATAAATACACTGGCACATCAGAGAGAAAAATTCTAGGACAGACCTTTGCATACTGTGCTGGTTTTCCCTTAACAAGGAATTATTTGTGTGAAATTTGAAAAATGTAATCCCTCACCTGCAGGCTGAAGTGGCACATTCCATTCTTCTACCTCAGTACTCGGCCATGTCGTCTCCCCCTTATTCTGCTGAATGTGAAGACCCAGTGTTCAAGTGATCAGGGGACAGAGCTTTTGCCACAGCAGAAGTTCCTATGGCCTGTTTTATATATACCTCTGTTTCCCCACCATCACATGTCCCATCAAACCCAACCTTCTTCCCCTAGTAAAGCTGTCAAAAATTGAGGGAAAGTAAGCAAACGAAAGATGTACATAATAGAAATGAATTTTGTATTATTTTGATCGGGAAGGTAAATGTCGTCATAGGTTTATGGAAAGAGAACATTCTATTCAGCTTTCCTACGGGGTGAGCCATTAAAAGGAACGGTGTGTTGCACTGAAGCAATATTTGCTAGGTTGAGCTCACAGGGAGCCATCCAAAGTTAAACCTTTTGAAATCTCGCTCATTCCAGTGAAGAGAGATCATTATATGCTTAACTCTTCCATTGAAATGAGTGGGATTTAAAGGCTGCAGTTGTATATATGGCAGACTGGCTTTTTAACTTGTCAGGAAATTTCCTCATGGACTCCTGCCCTGTAGGGCCACTGGTAGCCAAGAGTGAACATCCTGGCCACGCTGGCTACTTGGTTTGGCTTGCTACAGGACAGTGTTAAAATTCTAGTTTGCCCCTGTTTTGTACTTGGAAATACGGACCACTGAACCCACTGGACTTTATTCTTAATAACCTAAAGGGGATAGGACTGAAAAACACTTAAGTGTTGATTGTGTCCTAGGTTTTTTAACTGAACAGTAAGTACCAACATTTTAAAACTGGTACTTTTACATTAGTGAACGCTTCGTTAAAGAAGTGTGTGTGTGTGTGTGTATGGTATGGATGTGTACTTTTAAGTTTAAATGCTACTTTATTGTGTGATGTTATTACTGTACAGGTGATGACTGATGAAAATCCTATTTATATCCAAAGTGGTTCATGCAACCATAACTGTTCCAATAGCATTTGAAAGTACAACGTACAAATTACTTTTAAAAAAGATTATTTAAATGTAATTTATTTTGATGTGTTAAGTGAATGGATCTAATCAACAAATGCAGCCTTTTGTACCAAAAAAGAAGTGTTTGGATTTCGAGATTGTACCGCAAAAAGAAGAAAAAAATTGTCCCGGTGACAAGAAGTCTAGTAGGCACAGCAAGTCATGTGCAAGATAAATGTTTACATATATATAAATTGTTATAACATTGTTTTTCTGCTTTTTTTGTTTTAGACTTTGCACTTTTTTCCTTTTGTATTTTGTAATTATTTTCTTGTTCTGAAATTACTATTGAATGAAATTCTGCCTTTGGGTACATAGGCAAGGGTTTCTCATGGTAAATATGTAAAAGGGAATTATAAACTGAGAGGGGTACCTGCATTTAAGTCTGTTGCAGTCAAATTGAACAGGAGTCCAGCAGCACCTTAAAGACGAACAAAATTTATTCCAACATAAACTTTTGCAAATTAAGAGTTTAGTTCATCAGATGCATCTAAAGAAGTGAAACACTTACTTGTGAATGCTTATAGTTGAATATGTTTTTGTTAATCTTTTAAAATGCCACAGGACTCTTGTTTAATTTTGCTAGGAATCATAATACATCTTTATTTTACCTATATGTTGACTGAAGTAATTGAACATTAATTTAGGTTTGTTTAATCCCTCATTTAAGCAAACACAGCTAATAGTTAATACACTAGCTTCGCTGGCTCTTTCAGCTCAGTTCAGTAGCTCACGAATGGTCTACTTGTGTGAGCAGTGTAGCATCGGAGGAGAGGACTCAGTGGAGCTCTGCAGATGGTCTTCTGTGAATAGGGTGAGCTCCAAAATTGTAGGTCATAAGAACATAAGAGATGCCAATATTGGATCAGGCCAAAGGCCCATCCAGTCCAACACTCTGTATCACAGTGGCCAGAAATACCAGTGCCATCAGGAGGTCCACCAGTGGGGCCAGGACATTAGAAGCCATCCCACTGTTGACCCCCCCCCAAGCACCAAGGTGACAGAGCATCACTTGCCCCAGAGTCCCTATCTATACCTTGTGGCTAATAGCCACTGATGGATCTCTGCTCCATATGCTTATCTAATTCCCTTTTGAAGCCGTCCATGCTTGTAGCCGCCACCACTTCCTGTGGCAGTGAATTCCAAGTGTTAATCACTCTTTGGGTGAAGAAGTACTTCCTTTTATCCGTTCTAACCTGACCGCTCAGCAATTTCATGGAGTGCCCACGAGTTCTTGTATTGTGAGAAAGGGAGAAAAGTACCTCTTTCTCTACCTGCTCTTTCCCATGCATAATCTTATAAACCTCAATCATGTCACCCCTCAGTCGTTTCTCCAAGCTAAGATCAGCTTCCATCTGGGATTTCCAAAGTTCTGCAAGTTCCTTTCATTCATTGATGTTATACTGCTCATACAAATAGACCAAACACATGAATTGTTAAAATACCCACAGAAGCCTGTAAGATAAAGTACAACTGAGCTTACAATTGCATGCTTAGAAGCAAACCTGACCTAT